GTAACCTTTCTACCATGTTATAAACACTATTATTCCTCACAACTATTTTCGCTAAAACTGCCCATCACTTTATCGGTATAAAACAGGAAGTCATCTTATGCTATTTGTGATCCCCACTGCATGGGACTAGAAAATATGTTCTGACCGGAATTCAGACATTGATGGCCAACCGGAAGCGATAACCCTGAGGCATGCTATTCCCATCATTATTGATTAAAAACTTCTGAGTTTTGAGATTATGGTCAAAACGGTGTGGGATAAACCTCTAAGGTAGTGCGGCGTACCAAATTGAATCCTGGCGTATTTAAGCTAGCCACTAAAGCTGAAACATCTGAAATAGTCTGAATGCACAGTAGCGCCTGCAATTCTGTCGTAGAGAACAAACTTACGGGCGAAATAAAGAAGGGTAAAATCAGGTCACACTGTTGCAGTTGCCTGCATCGACCTAAACGCGGGCTGAATTCCTTTACTCAATGCTCTCGAGCCGCATGGATTCGAAATGCGAGCCCTAAACAAGCTTTTATTGAGGTTACTTCATTATGAGGGAAGCCTGAAGACCAATTTCCAAATTTGGCGACCATTGGACTTTCGAACGTCTTACCAGATAAGATTCACTTCCGAATGAGACACACGCTTGTGGTGGATGTCATCGTTGGAAAGGAGTTGTCCGCATTTTACAGTGCATCCTTCAGCCCAATGTAGCGCAATCTGACTGACTCTACCTCCATGTCACTGGGCTGCTTGGTTCGTACTAAATTTCTGACTGGCAATTCTTACCCCCAGCACTTTCAGCTCACAAGTTTCCGAAAAATATGCACTAATAAATAATTTCCAAATGTGATCACGGCTTGCCCGATATTTCAGCTATGTAGCTAAACAATATGAAAAGTAAAACGAACCCGAATAATGAATGGAGCGAATTTTCTGGGACTAGGTAAGACAAGGCTGGTGTAACGACAATCGTGGCCCTGTACGCTTAACAGTGAGTTCATTGATTGAAGGGAACCCGCCAACTGAGCAAAAGCGATCAATGGAGTCGGAGGAGTTATGGAAGAAAAAAACTTGGAGTGCACCCTAGTTCCAAACAAGCGTTCAATTTTTCGCGAAAAATCAACCGGAAAATAAAGGTTTGTGCTGTGGCCTTATTAACAGTTTTCTTAAGTGATACCCGAGGTGAGAAATTCACGATTTTAATTGGCAAGAAGCAATTTTTCATCGAGGAACGTTGATTCTGGTGATTTATATCATCGTATATAATGAACCTTTAATTCATATTCCACTTTGTACGCTGAACCATCTGTTGGCCAGACAGTATATCAGTCGGACCCTTGCAAGAGGGGTTACGATGGGGATGGAGAAAAGCTGGTCACTTCATGGAGGTATCTGCTCTTCTGGGGGGGGGCATACTTGGCAATCCACTCACGGAGGTATCTGCTCTTCTGGGGGGGGGCATACTTCGGCAATCCACCAAATGACAATAGTTTACGTTTCCAAATGTTGACTGTGTCGCAAACTTCATGTCATATTTTCCACACCAAATCCATCGAAAATTCTCCCACCGCTGTCGAAAAAAGTTGAAGTCTCGGGAAACGTGGATCATCAAAATTTATTCCAAGACGCCTTCATAACCAATTTATTGCTCACGATGATGATGAGGAGCTGAAGACAGTTAGGAAGTTAGTTTGAACTCTTCACAGAAAGACCGTGATCGCATTTCACTTGGATCTGAAAATGTGGTAGTAGCTAAGTCGCCGCACTCAATCCGAACAACATGACAGCATTGCGGCGAAAGGGTGAGGTGGTCCAACAACACGCTTTTTTGAACCGTGTTAGTGGAATTTACCCTGCGGAACTAGAGTTCCTATCTGTAGCTACATAATTGGGTTGTTCTGTACCACCACATATATTGATTGCGCTGATGACGTGGTCACCAATCACTCATTTCCTCAAATAAAACAAGGATAGGCACGTTGCACAAGTTCTCGATTATTGATCTGGCGATAAAGGCGGATTACGGTATAGTCGAACCAAGGAATTGGACTTACGGTGTTACGTTGAAGCTTATATTAGACGGTTTTCTGACGACCCAAATAGACCACGCCCTACTTGTTGAAATTCAGCTGAACCATTTGAGTGCTTGTCACCTAGCGACCGCACCCATGTTTTGCTGGGCTTGTGAACCATTTTCAATTTCAATGGCTTATTTATTGGGCAGCCTAATGAGTTCGCGGCTTTACTCATTTCCACCTATTCAGAATGACTCATGAAACGCTACGTTGTTCCAATGTGCGCTTTGCACAAACAAGGCGGAGCAGTCGCTTGATTTCACCAGTAACCTTCTCTAAGTAACATGCGTTGCAGTAGAACTTAGCGATTACACGCAGTGTGCTGTTAACATTTTACAAGGGTTTGGTCCCAGTACCTTACGTGGTGTCTGTTTGAAAGCCGTTATCAGTTTTCTGACCAGGAATATTAGTTTGTCGAACCTTGTGAGCCATACTACAACCCGCCCTTTTTCTTCCTATCTAATCCACGGACTAGTTTCGACAACCCATAAGGAGGTAACCAGCGGTGCACAAATACTAAGGAAAAATAAGTCTGGCTTGGTTATTCTCGCGGCAATGTGCCTAAACCAACCGGTCAATTTTGTCAGACCAGTCGCAAAATTGATGGTCTTATTTCCACGTGAAAGTGCATAAAAGTTCACACAACTACAAAGATCTTAGAGGAACCAATTGTGGAAGGGAACTATTCCGTTTTTTCTCTAACGATGTGGCAGAGGCTCGAAACTCAGCTTCCTGCCCCCGATCACATCTTTTGACCTGTTTGGGATTCGTCGGTCTGGTGAAAAGAGATCAGACACGTGACACTTCAGGTAGAAGTCTCTTGCCGTTCAACGGACAGGTGATCTTTAGTCTAAAGCTCTCAACGATCCTTCCTTCTCAATCCAACGGTTGGATGATGACCAGTCAGGTTAGCAATTCAGAGTTAGTCAAGCCGGTTCATACCCAACATAACCCACGCGGTTCAGGATAGGCCATGCAATCAAGAGAACAAAGCGTATCATATTCAAGCTCAAATAAATGGTCGAACTGTATTAAGATGTACAGCTATTCACGGTAGTTGCTATGACACGAACAGTGGTTTGCGTACCCAGCATGTTTTCCACTATCAGTGATGCGGATTATACTTGACCATCTTTGGAGCTTTGAGACCCAAAATCGGGAGCAATTCCAAGAAGCCTAATAAACACCATACTGGGACATTGTATAGTAAAGAGTCTCGTCTATCATATGCGACCACACAGGTTCAGTCCAAATACCGACTCACTGAGGGGTTGGATGAGAAATACAAAAGAACACCAACTCTCTTTACCCAAAGCTCCATTTGTCTGGCAGTAAGACTTCGCGAAACTGAAGTTTTCACCTGATCCAATACGCTCTCTAAAAGGAAGGCGGCTACCTGGTCCAATTAATCCCAAAACTCTTGATCTAGATCACGCGGCATGAAGAAACCTGGGCTTGAGAGAGGCTCATCGGTACCAAGAATGCTAAGTTTCGTATACTGACGCGGAAAGATTTCATCCGGTGATACAGTGCTTTTTCACTCCCATTGAAACATAATATTGGGAAACACCCTGAGGAGATACAGAGATACCTCTACGGCCGGGTGTCTTATCTGGAGAAAGGCGCATTTATTTATTTATTTATTTATTTAATGAAAATTCATCCCACCGTGTTAAAAGTTTATACAAGTTTCATCTCGCATCTAATTCATCAAGTTCGCATTACAAGTGTGACTTGCTCCGAACTGCTACCAAGGTAAAATGATTCACTTCAAATAAAGTGATAAAACAGCAGTCGTCTTGCTTAACAAACTATATGTAGGGTGTTGTGATTGTGAGGGCTCCTTTCGGGGGAATCAGAAACTGTGGTTGGCTTGCTTCTGGACTGGTTCCTGCTCAAGTGATTGTAAGGGGAAAAACCCACGTCGGAAAAAAGTCCTTTCGGAAAGGGCATTTCTCTACATTCCTCCTCATTGTGGAGGGGGTAATGCACTACCAAAAAGGCGAAACTTAGTGGCCGTAAACAAGTGAGCAGAACAGGAGCCATTCAAACCTCATCAAACTGGACCAAAATGCTCCACGGGAAAAATGGAGAGACTGTAATATATACATATCTCGAAATCTGAGTAAATACACAAATGTATCCAACGCCAACGTATATGACCACAGAAAATAACAAAAACAAGCGCATGCACGGGAAACCTTACTTTTGAGGCACAGGCCAAGTAACCAAGTGACCTTCAATTTTGTATAGGCCTGGAGCATAAAAAGACCGAGTAAAGCGAACCATGTGCCAATAAGCCTCTAGGCGACTGTTTGTAGATTATCTGGTTCAATAATACACAAGATGTTGTCCATTCTTAGCTTACCCGTCCAGCGGTACATTTCGCAACAAATGTTGTAAGCCATCTTCTCGACTAGCGCGACTGAATTATCTTAGGACACGTTGCACTAATGATTCAGCACGAAACCAAGTAGGCACTGGGCAGGAAACAATAAGTACGATAAGTACGTAATGAAGATGAAATGTGGTGAGAACAGTAGGAGACACAGAAAGTAAAAGGAGCAGACGGCTATCCCATTTCCAAACATGCAGCGTAGACCACCAAGCATCCACATTAATCACCCTCCACCAGCGGCACTATGATGATTCTTACCACATTTCTCAAAATCTTCGATGTTTCTCAATGGAATTTCGGCGGCTCGGTGGAGTGAGTTCAGGCAACAAACATCCACAGGAGATCCACACGAGATTCGTTCCAAGACCGGGAAACACGGAGACACCGACTGCGGTAAACATTCATATAAATCAGCTAGCAGAGTTTCCATGACCTAACTGTGTGATGTAACAGAAAAGATGCTAGCTAAAACGGGTTATAGATAACAAAGTGTTATAAACGTTCCCACCACCGATATTTGCAAAGAGACACAAAGGATTAAAAGCAATATATTTTGTTCAGAAAATGCACACAGTTCAAGTTATTGGGTCTTTAACCAGGTGTGCTGGATGAGGGTGCCCGTGGAGAGGCGGTAGACACGATCTGCCCGGGTGTCGGCGCGTAGGGAGTGGAACAAGGTGTTGCAGAAGCTGAGCCTGTATGTGTTGTCTGGCGTGAGAGCCTACGAACTGAATTCATATGTTCTGCATACTGGCTCATAGTTAGACGGGCACATGCATGGTGAAGGGGAGAGTCGCTGGTGCTGGACTGCAAGCCATCAAGAGAAAACTGACAAGGAGGCCAACGGGGACAGTCAAAACTGCCAGTCTGGACAGCTCGATGGAACGACTGACTGAATATATGCTCCGCGGAGTTTGGGTCATTGATGGGGGGACAGACGTCTGGAAGAACTTGGGTGATGAAAGCACGCAGGATATCACCACATAAGTGAATGATACAAGAAGCCTCAAACGTGACCTACAAGGTAACGAGAGGAATGAAATTAGTTGATTTCGGAAAGTCAAAGATGGAGACCCCCTAAGAAAGTGAACTGTGTTGGCCTAAGCCAATTTCTTAACCAGCAGGACTCAAAATATTCCGAGATACCGCTCTCTATAAAAATCACGTAGACCAAGCACCTTCATGAATGTTGTACTGTTGAACAGCCCAAGTCAATCGAAAACAAGATGAGAAGTTTGCTCTTTGTGCAACCATTTGCTTTTCACACATGGCTTGGTACAACCGTGCAACTTGAGTGAAATTCCTTCTACAGCTAAAGGAGTTGTTTAAAACAGAGAGATGAACGCTTCACTGGATGTTAAAACCCGGTCCTCGTCCTTGAATCCGAATGTCCAAGTTCACTATCAAGTTTACAACAACGCCTTCAAGCCTCTTTGAATGGTTGGTAAGGCATGTGAGTAGGAGACCGATCATTGAATAGACAAAAAGGAATCCGATCTAGGTAACGTGTCTCCTCCTTAAATGCGGTTCTGATCGAATGAACCACGTGACCGGTGATTACAAGTAGCAAGCGAGATGAGGTGACAGATTGGATCTTTAGTGCCCAAAAACTCAGTCCAAACACTAAGAATACTGCCCAGAAAACCGAACGGTGATTTCAACCACGAAGTTCGTTGGCCAGGAATTTGTCACTGAATAAATTCAGCAGTGATAAAACGACGGTTAGTCACGCCAGTTTCTGCTTACAATATCAAAGACCATGGGAACTTAAAAAGCGAGGCATACTGGACTTTCGAAAGGCAAAGCACATAAACTAGTGTAGGTAATAAGTTTACGGCGATTTAGGAATAAACTAACATTTCTGTATTCTACTTCAATTCACGGCACACTATTTTATTTTGATTTCATTGTGATAATTTGAAAAGGGGTCAGTATCCTGATACCTGCTGCCTTGCTAGGGTGAATCGTGTATCAACCTGTATCAGCCATCCATGAGTAGCATATAACGCATTTAGGAAAAATATGCTAGAAGCGTGTTAGCTATTGGAGGATTCAGATCTGGGCACTGAGGCTCCAATCATCCATTGAGCACCTGAAAGTTCAACGGCCACGCAGCATTGCAGTCCCTCTTATACTTTCCACTTAAACCTTCAGTTCAACTTAGTTCAAAATCGTTTTGTGTTCCATCATCCAACGTAATTCCGTTACTTCAGAGTACTTCATTTTATTCAACTCCAACCCATTCAAATCCTTCGCTAAGCTGCCCTGAACTTAGTGACGCGACAGAACATACTTTATACTTGGTCGGCTTAGTAATCAGATCCCTGATCAAGTGACAAATTTTGTTTCGGAAATTGCTATAAGATAGGTATTTTTCAGTTATTGGCTCGGTACTGAGGAAACGACACAAACATCGTAAACGGGAGATTCAGCTGGGTTCCTAATGAGTCTCCCAAAAAACCAAATTTGTTTGCAAATGAGTGTATTTCGCTGATTTCCTACAAATCGAAAAGATCAAGCGAGACGTTCCTCGCTGTCTGACTTCAGACTCCGGTCTGCTAAGGAAGTTTACGCGGAATGATCCTAGAACATAAACGGACATGATCTCCCACGCAATTACGAGGCCGCAATGTTTTGCGTGAATCCTTCTAGTAATGGCAGCAGTAGGTCACAGCCCTCTAGGGAATACCATAGGAGTATAACGGATAGTACCGTAGCATTATTAGTAAGTACCGATAAAGTTGTGTTGAGCATCAACGAGAGTAAATAAAATCCTTAGTAGACAAAACATTTCATCCTAGAAAGGCGAGAACAAGCAGGTTTATGTGCACTTGGCGAAACACTCATTTGCAAATTACACTGAAAAGACCCGACTGGATGTCTGGCTCATGATGTACTGCATAGCAAATGAGTGTGGCTCGCATACAATTTGAACATTATGTTGATAAAAAATCAAGAACTGTGCCTGCCTGGTTGGCTTCGAGAAATTCGAATTGTCGAATAGGAGACGAAATTATAATTTATGCCAAGGCTTATACGTACTTCAATCAGATAGCCTCTGACGTTTGCACTCTGACCCATGAAGAGTGTGACAAAGTTGATGCCGAAATCACCTAGTCTGTACTTCATGCCTTTCCCTTCGACCTGTAGCTTCTTTTTCCTTTGATACGAAGCCCTCAGATAACCGGCAAATTCGCGGAAGGCCAGATCAGCCACAAGAAGGGTGTTATTGTCCGTAAAGACAAAACATGAGGCGGGGAATTCTGTAGATGTCAGAACCTGGAAATTTTTACACGTGGCTATATGTGTTGCGTTGGGACTGGGTAAAAATTAACGTGTCGCAAACCTTTTGGGTGAGAAGCGAAGTAAATGGCACTTTCGATATGCATCCGGCCAACCCGAACGGCACCTACAGATAAAACATTACATAGTGAAAGTAAACCCACCAAGAAGTTCCACTCGCTTCATCAAACCTTCTAGTGCCTGCGGACCGCCCTTTGCTTCAACTGAGCTCCATAAGAGCACACTAGTAGTATAGAAGGTTCGTATGCCATATAATGCCTTACCATGAAACTCCAGACATGTGGTGAATTTGATAACTGTAAAGCGAAAGACGTGCATCAAAAATAAAAATAAACGTAAATATATTAAATTGGTCACATGCGAAGTAGTGGTAAATAAAACAGCAGTACCGGAATAGTCAAGAACACCGGTACACGTATTGGTTCGAAAGCATCATCGGAACAATGAAGGAAACTGTCAATGTCGACGCCGACAGAGTTCAACATGAATGGTCACAAATTCAGCATCGAATCTGACTGGCTGAGGCTCGTCAGTGATGTGCAGCCGTGCATCAGACATCCCGGATAGATAGCCTTCATCCGAAAGAGAGATAGTCACTGCCACCTTCCAAGGAGAGAGCTCCACGCTTCGTCCATGGGAGGTGAGGCATATCCTTCCTGAACCTGGATACTGTATACTTATGAATTATCTCATCGAGTCAAATAGCCTAGCATATTTGATTATCCTAGTGATTGCCTCTCGACTTTCCCTGTTAGGCTTGGGATTGCCTCTCGACTTTCCCTGTCTAGGCTTGGGCAACCTGGCAGTATCCCAGCCCCCGTGCTTCCTTCTGGTGGCATAGCAGTTAGGCACCGAAAGGGTGCTACAGCTGAACGATTTTTTCTTGGGTTTTCGGAGCATCATCACCATTATTTTCCACCTGTGGGCGAGCAAAGACGAAAAGAAGCCGGAATAACAGGATAGGAGAAATGGTGAGAGTCGCTTAACTGGGCTATAGAGTGAGGCCCAAAGTGGAAGTCCTTAGGATACACAAACTTGCCTGTTGATAAATAATCACCATGGACTGCGACACGTCAACAAATTAGAAAGTCTGCAATCAGAGTTGTCGACTATCACCCAAACCCGATGGAAGGCATTCTACAATTTTGCCGATTGCTACGATCAAGATTTCCACGGCGAACTATCACGTAAACAGCTGAGGGCAACTCTTTCGCTCGCAGTTAAACTGGATCCCCGCAAACAACATCCGCGGTGGCGGTAATTTTTTTCACATTGAAAGACGTAAACTAGCCTGCAGAGAATGCGCATTTTAACACACCAAGTCACAAGAGTGCATTTAGCTCAGTAGCAACTGTATGTTTACAAGCTACTCCATTGCCGATCCGATCAGTTGACCCAGTAGACCCAGTAGGTGCAGATAAGAACAGCTGAAAACCGAGTATGAATGTGCAGCTTCTTCGAAGACAGACCACTTTTCCTAATACTGGTCCCAAACGTTCACTAGAAACTATACCTCTGGTCAACAGCCTAATTTTCGAGGCCAAAGCTGACAAGATACAGCAGACAAAGCATGTTTTGTTCGACTTGTACGTTGCTCAATTCGCAACGTGCAAGCAGGAAAGTACAAAATATTCCAAACAAGCTCACGTGTCGACAGTCTGAAGTAAAGTGCCGGGTATGTACGGAATCCGGGCATTCCCGATGCAGTAATATAGCATGATCTGATACTTCGAAACAGTAAGGTGTTGTCAGATATGCAAAGACCGCAATCCATTGTTCGCTCTAATGACGGATTCCGCAGACCACAAAGAAAATGAGCTGCTTTGTGTTGCTCTTGACCATTCTTAACCAGGTTTTCTGCTGTCTTTCGGAGTGATGACTTCATCCCTGATGTAAATAGTTCAAGGTTTGTTTGGAAATTCCGACTGATCCTGTGCAACATATGTCCAAACCATTGCAGACGCCGTCATAAGAGATGAAACAGGTGTGGCAGGCCATGACGTTTTCGGATTTCATTACTGGATACCTCTAATCACCGAACTCGCACTATGCGTTGGGAACACCAGTGGACAAAACCTCCAGCTTTCAGACAACTCCTGTCCGTAAAGATGTTATTTCACTAGCGTAGATCAAACCCGGACGGACGTCTGCGTCGAAGCCCAACCTAAAGCTGTTAACTTGTCGTGATGGTCGGGTTTCTGTGCTGCAATGATCCTGAGGGCTATATTGGCTGCAGTTCCCAAAGATTCAACCATGCCAGGAAGGCTAACGGGAAGCAGCCCGACGAAGAAAGGTGCGTCCCCTTACGGCGAATAATCACATTGCGAGGCGGTCTGGAGGTAGTCTTACTGTCTTCTGCGATAGGTGTGAGGCAGTGAGGCACTTGCCCCAGCGACCAGCATGTCCATATTTACGGAAGCAGCGATGAAGCCTTCCTCTGAGGAAGTAAAGGCTGGAAAACCGCACATTGTTGACCATGACCGCCAATGCATTCAGTGCAATCCAATACAATTCAATACGGCCGAAATACCTTTAAAACCAAAGAACCCGATGCTGCTCAAAGTGCATCTGATGTACGCAGATGGTATTGGCTCACAGCGCCTTAAGGAGGGTCAAACCTCACAGGCATACAATAAAGCGACCTATAGTGTGGCCTGACATGCGCCCCATGAGATTCGCGGGTGCGCCGCCTTGAAGCCATAGGTATCTCAAATGTGCACCACCAGCCAGATTTTAGAACCGCGTGAATTGACCCCCACCTGTCACATTACAACCGGAATTAATAGGACGTAGAAAATACGTAGAACGCTCCGCGACTTTCTATACCACTCCTTGGATTGTGAGTGGCATCCTCAGTGATTACAAATCCAGAAAAATGACCTTGTGGGTATGCAAGCCATGGAAGCACCAGGGGACAGTAATGCTCTGAAGGTAGGGGTCCATAGAAAGTTGTGGATAAAGATCATGAGCGGAAACCCGGTAAGCAAGGTTGCACATCACCAGTACTTACAGATAAATAAGTTAAACTGACAGAAAACGTATACTGCATGGACAGACTTTTTGAACACCGTCCCCAGTGTACCATGGCCTACGTCAACCGGCTGGTGCTAGTGTGGTGCGTGGGGCTGGTGAGCTTATGCAGAAGTTGGTGTGTCTGGGGATGCGTACGCCGTGTACGATTGAGCAGCGGCTTAGATCTGAGGCCTGTATGCATATGTGTAGAGCCACAGCATCTGTAGCAGGTCCACCTGCGTGTGGTAACCGTCCTGGCGTGGTTACCAAACATGTAGTATATACGCTATGGAAGCATCAAAGGACAGCGATTCTCCGAAGGTAGGGGTTCAGAGTAATTTATGTGGATAGAAGTGTTGTGGCTGAACGGTCTGCGTGTGGTAACCGTCCTGGCGTGGTTACCAAACATGTAGTATATACGCTATGGAAGCATCAAAGGACAGCGATTCTCCGAAGGTAGGGGTTCAGAGTAATTTATGTGGATAGAAGTGTTGTGACTTGCTGAACGGTCGTGCAACACTGCGTCGGTCCTTAGCTTCCTGCTCCGCCTAATATGGTATATCAAAAGGCACCGTAGCTTCACACGGTTATTTATAGCGAGAGAGCTTATTGCAACTGTATTTATAAAGTAATCACAAAATATCCCACGAAGTCGCGCTGGACTCTCCCTGGTGGGGCGAGAAGCGTCGAGCTAAAAATGCTCGATCAAGGTGTGCTGGCAATCTGACCGATCAGAGCATACCTTCGTTTGGTCCGCAGGCCGAACTTCATAAATGCGTCCAATTGACGTGTCACTCGGTTATTAGGGGCGGCTGATCCCGGACAAGAAGCCAGAAAGAAAGATTGTAGGATGAGCCCAGTAAGAAAGGTTGTACATCACAAATACTTACACATAAATGAATCAAACTGGTAAATACCGTACACTACAGGGTGAAGAGCACATACGAACAGACTGAATAATTTTAGTGGGTTCATTTCACTGACTAGATGGTTTGGTCTAACTTGTGTTCGTCAGACGAAACACCCATCGGATACGAGAGTCCCTCCTGACGCTCATTCAAGAGGTTGAGACTGTCAGTACGCCAAATCTCGGCTTTGGGGAACATGAAGTGGTCAGCTTCTATGTCTAACTTAATGACAGTCTCAAATAGTTCATCTATTTCTTGAATCCTGTTCCACTCCGTGTTGACCCCTGTTATGTTAACCTAAATAACGACTCTTTTACCTCAGCTCCCAGTTCAATCTTCCCAAGCTACGTTTTCCAGGGGATGAATCACCAAGGGAACATGGAGTGTATTAAACGCCAAAAACACGTAGAACATACCGCACTTAAAGTGAACCTGACGCCGGAACTCTGAAAACTCGACGTCCGCTGGATGCGATCCTGGCACACGCCATTCGGCTAATCCGGAAACATGATTGGCTGTCGTTTATTGGTCGGAGATTGCCTTGCTCCGAATAACCCATCAACTTCATCTTCCGGCCAATCACGGTCTAGCTACCGTTGCAAATCTTCATTGTGAAGGCTTACCTTGTTCGGGTTCAAGTGTGAAAAGCACCTTTTGGAAGCAGTCCAAACGGACACAGTCCATTCCAGGCTTTTGAAATATCCCGCATACTGAGGACATTGAGTGATTGCATTCTCTACCCACGTAGTACACGGATTCACGGATTTATACATGGGAACGAGGCTTTCGCTCAAGCTTCTCGGATCGGGCTTATTCTTGTCTTTCAGCGGATTCGTTATCCTGAGAGGCACAAGCGAAAAAAGAGTGGAGCGCTACTCCTCATGTTCTCAGCGCGTTGCAGTAAGCTTCCTAGCTATTGAACTGCCAAAAAAACGTCTGAAAGTGCTTTGAACTGGATAGTGAATTCAGCATAAACAACTGTCGGTTGTTCAGCGCAGAAATTACTCGAAATGGGGAAAGTCTGCCTGGGAAAATTGTACACCCCGTGCTTGAATATATTTTTAACATTTTCACACAGTATGGTATTCGGGTCAGTGGTGTGAAGTCTGTTAGCCAAACCTCGTTCAACCGGGTAATAACTAGGCACTAGGTTTCATCGGAGACGACAACACTTCAGGAGAAAGAGGTTAACCAGATTGACACCCGTTTCATACTTAGCAGACTTAAGGCCGGTAACAATTTTTGTAACGGATAGTTGTATACGCTATTTATGCGGCCTGAGTGGGCAACATCGTCGGCATATTCAAGAAGTTGTCTGACGTAGGCCTCACAAAGCACCTGGAAGTTCATGCAAGTAACA